CTCCTCCTCCTCCTCCTCCTCCTCCTCCTTCTCCTTCTCTCAAAAAGTAGATTTTTTGCTCACCAGACTCCACAACATAGAGGGAGCATTGACTGCTACCCCCTGGCTACCTGTGAGCCATCTTCCTTTAAAATGAGGAACCCTTTTTTCTGCGTCCTTTCAGTTACAGTGTTATGATGCCCAGACCTCCTGGGGTTGTCTTGTACTCAATTGATTAATCTGTTAATTTGTTCTGTCTCACCGTCACGCCCCTTTATTAGCACCCTGGTGCTTTGTACATGCCGGGCCTACGTGGAAGTATACGGAAATTCAACACTAAGAGAGAAAGAAAAAGAGAGAGAAGTGGAAAGAAAGAATGAAAGAGGTGGAAAGAGAGAGAGAGAGAGAGAAACAAAGAAAGCAAATAGATGGGAGGGAGGGGGAGGGAGGGAGGGAGGGAGGGGCAGGGGGGGGGTGTCAGGATGGGCACCCCCACGACACTCTGCCTCTGCCGTGAGTGAGGCCTCTCTCAAGAAGGGGGTGTGTGAGGAAGGGGGAAAGCCTTGGTGCTAGACTGTGAGAAGAAATCTGGCTGGGTTAGACCCCAGAAAAGGAGGGCAACAGGATGGCACAGGGGTGTCGTGGTTAAGTGTGCGGACTCTACATCCGGGAGAACCAGGTTGGATTCCCCAGTCCTCCTCCACATGCAGCTGCTGGTGTGACCTTGGGTCAGCCATAAATTCTTCCACACTTGTTCTCTCAAGGGCAGTTCTCGAGAGAGCTGCCTCACAGGGGGTGTCTGTGGTGGGGAGGGGAAGGGAAAGGAGACTGTAAACCGCTCTGGGACTCCTTCGGGTAGTGAAGGGCCCTGGGGTGCACATCCAATCTCCTCCCCCCCCATGCCCCTGTTCTCCCAGCAGCCCACGTCCAGAGGTATACTGCTTCTGAACACAGAGGCTCCTCTCCCGACTCCGATGTGCCAGCAGAGGGATGGCCCGAGAATGGCCGGAAGAGCCGGGTAGGGCCTCTGAGTCTTGACCCACCATGGGGTGGCTCCCTTGTCTGACTCACAGGGCCTCTGTGCTCTCGGCTCCCTCCCGGCCTCTGCCTGTCCATCGAGCACGGAAGGGACTTCTCTTTAGGCTCCAGGGGGCCACCCCACCCACGCGGCAGCCCAGCTGAGCTGCTTGGCTCCTGCTGGACGGGCAGTGGCCACCGAGGAGGAGTCCCCCGTCTGCCACAAGGACTGCTCTCCACCAGCCTCAAAGGAGCAAAGAAAGAGAAGCCCAAACTGCCTTTCAAAATGCTGCTAAAGGCAGCAGCAGCAGCAGCAGAGGCCAGACGGTACGACAAAGATGCCCCCAAGAGATGCCCCCAGTCAGAAAGGGCCACTCCGAGCAGTGCCCAAAGGCTGGCCAGGCAGCAGAAGTGGCGCTTGCGTCCCCTGGAGCCACCCACCGGGCCCAGGGCCTCTCGGGCACGTCTCCCCTCCCTCGTGCCACGGCTGCAGCTTCCCCTCCCTCGGGGAGCCTGTGGCCAGGAGGATGACGGCTGGCCTTGAAGGGTTCCTGGCCGACCTGCGGTTCTCCTGGAATTACAACGGATCTAAAGACTGTCAAAATCAGCGCCCCTGGAGGAAATGGCAGCTTGGGGGGGGTCAGTGAGCTATCCCCCCCCAAACCCCAAGCTTCCTTTTGCTCTCAGCTTCCGCGAGTTGAGGCCCAACCGGCATAGACGCGAAGCTGGGATTTCCTTATCCCCATGTGCACCACCTTGTGCTCACCTATGCTGCACTTTGCAACACGGCGCCCCCCCCCCGTCACTCAGAGAGCACCCCCTGGAGCTCCTCCTAGCCAGCCGCGGTCTCCCCACCCTGAATCACATCATGGTGTCGTCACTGGCCGTTATACTGCTCACCCCCAAACTGCAAGCCATTTACAAACAAAATCAGTGGTGCCGTTCCCAGTACGGATCCTTCTGGGACCCCAGCGCTTCTTACGTCCCTCCATTGTGAAAATCGTCCTTTTATTCCTGCTCTCGGCTTCCTGTTGTTTAACCCAGTTTGAATCCATACAAGGACCTGTCCTCTTACCCCACGGCTTCTAGGCTTACTCAGGAGTCTTCGGTGAGGTACCGTGCCAGAAGCCCTTTGCTGCTCCAACTGTGTGACGCCTTCCAGATCACCACAGCCTCAGCAGTCTTCCCCAGAAGCCACCTTCAAACCTCTCTCTCTCTCTCTCTCTCTGTGTGTGTGTGAGAAAGAATGATCCCCCTGCCGAGGAAGGCTGACATCCCTGCAAGAGAGAGAGAGTCCCCCGGGGTCCATAAAAACGACCAGCCTCATCCAGACAGCACAACGCGGGCATTTCATCTCAAAGGGACGGAAGAGAGCCACAGTGGATGGCCCGGCTCCCCCTGCCCAGTCCCGGACAGCCAAAAGCGCTGACTCACACGAGGAGATTCCCCCCCCCTCCCTCGGCCAGGACGGAGCAGACGGTGTCAGGATGGCTGGCGTGTGCGGCCGGGCCGGCTCACTTTCCCCCTGCCCTTAATCTCCTCCCTAAGTACAGCTCTATCTTCCACGTTAAAGGATTAACACCCATCTCTCATTCAACTATTGCAATGAGATTTTATTTCTAATTACACTGTAATAAAACTGGGAGCGCTCCCAGGGTTTTCTCCAAATGACTTGTAGACACTCGGCGAGATTGGATCCTCCTCGGCTGCATTGTAATAGCATTTCACTGACATTCATTAGACATGCATGAAGGGGAAGCTTGAAGAATGGAATTGCATTTAAATGGATTTTCTGAGAGAGGGAGATGAAAAGGGGCATGGAGAAAAAAGGAGGAGGAGAAGGAGGAGGAGGAGGAGGAAAGGTGGGAGGCAGGATGCAATAATCAGAGGGAACAGAAAAGACACTCAGTCCCGTGATCAAGCGTGTTCGGTGACAGCCAGACAGAAGGACAGAGCCTCTCTGCTCGGTGGACTGCTGGGGGCAGGGGTGATCAGACGGATGCGCAGCAGCCCTTGGTGCCGGGGCAAAGAGGCTTGCCCCTCCCTCACAGGGGCCAAGCTCCAGGTGCTCAGGACCTGTGGGGCTTGGCGGGACCCTCCCTGCTCCTTCCAGCCCAACAAGGGTCTGCTAGCCGCAGCTCAAAAGGGGCAGGGGGCAGGCCCGTAGACACAAGCCCCCCTCCTAAATTTCCCCCGCCCCTACCCAATCAGCTGGCACAGGAGGGATCTGGAGGAGGCCCTCCCACCCCAAGTCGCTGCCTTGGGTCATGCCACGCTGGCCGGCCGGCTGGCTGGCCAACGTCATCCTGGGGGAGCCCGGGAAGCTTTGGCAGGCTGGCTCCACGTGAGGCTTTCGCATGCTTGAAGCTGTCCCTCCCCTGGTTTCCCCCCCCCTCCTCTTTTTCATTCATTCATTCAGATCTGCCAGGATGGGGCAGAGGAAGAGCTGCTAGTTTCCCAGAGACTTTTGCAGGAGAAACTAATCACAGCAAGGAGTCAGAGAGAGGGGATGCAAACCCACTCCTCACCCTGGGAATCTTTACATAAAGGGGGAGCCGTCAGTGGGAACCTGAGTGGCAACCACTCTGCCCCACCTTCCGTACACCACTGCACTTCTCCCACCCCCCACCCCCAGCATGGATGTTCACTGCAAGGAGGAAACCCTGGCTCTGGTCTGGA